ATCATATCTAGTTTCTGTCTGTGGAGTTAGTCCATATTTCCACCATTTTGTTCCAATTGACTTTTGCTTCCAAAATTTAATAGAATAAGTTGATATCTTTCATTATATTGTCGAGATTTTGTTTAGATCCTACAAGATAAAGTATTGAATTATTAGCAAATATTAGATTTGTAGTCATTGTTTCATCTAGAAAAATGAGGCCTGTGATTCCATTGCGGCTATCATCCAATATATATTTGAGGGCATCACTAACTAAAAGATTGAAATAAGGTGCCATGAGGCACCTTTTTTTGATTGACCATTTGAGTAAGAAATTCAATCATGGTATGCTGTTGAAGCAAACTATGGTATTGGCATGGATGTAGAGTGTCATACTTAGTTGGACTTAAGTTTGACAAAATCCCATATGCAAAATCAGTTGTTGTAAAAATATCCATGATACTTGATCATAAGCTTTCTTGAAGTCTAATAAGAGATGTATGAGTTCTTGTTGACTGATTTTTGCCTAGGACATGGCTTCAATGGCCATAAAGACATGATCAAAAATAATTTGGCTAGGTATGAAGGTTGTTTGCTTCGAAAAAATCCATAGCAATAAGTATTTCTTTATTTGGATGGCCGATAGCTTAGCAAATTTTTTATGAATACAATTCAATATTAAGATAGGTCTTAAATTGGTGATCCAAATTAGGTCCCCCTATTTTGGAAGCAAAACTATCTTACTTATGTTTAGCTTTGGATAGAGGGATTTTGTTTTGTTGCAAAGACTTTTGTATATAGTTGTCTAAAGTCTACTATAGTAAAGTATAGTTCTCTAAAGTTTAGCACCATGTACTCTATTGCGGTAGAATTCACTTGGAGCTCCATCTAGTCTTATTGTTCTGCCTTTTGGAACTGCCTACATGGCCTTTTGAACCTCTTTTGTGGTTATGGATTGGGTGAGTTTAGTATTTTACTACTTTGGAAATGCTGGTGAAGCATTCAGTTTGGCCTGTTTCATTTGCCTCCACTTCTTCGTCCTTGGTGTATAAGGTCGTGTAAAAGTTATCTACATAGGCTCTCATGTCCAAAGGGTCGGAGATGTCTCTACCTTCATCATCAAATTTTCTAAGTCAAGTTGGAGTGGGTTGACCATTGTAATATTTGAAGAATTCTCTATTACAATAATCTCCTATGCTGGTCCAATCTAAGAGGATAAAGTCATATTTGTATTCCATATTGTTTTGTCGGCTTCTCTAAAGTGCGATCTGTGCCTCATCCAATTTCTTCCTTGCTTAGAGGTCCTCCCAATGGTGCTGGAGTGCCATTTCAGCATTAAATACTTCAGTGAATAGGACTGTGAATTCTTCGTCCCATTCTTGTTTTATTCGTTTTGTTTCCTTGTTACTGAGTAATTTAACTGCTTTGACCGCGTGGATGATTTTAGTGTTCCAGTTTGCTGAGGCAATGGCTTGTTTCTATGTTGTAAGAAGCAGTTGTGTGCTTTCCTTCTCCTTTAGGAGCAGAGTATTGAATCGGCTGGTTTTTGGGATCCATGGAAGGTTGGGTACGATTTTCGTGAATACCGGGGTGTGATCTGATATGTGGGGCATGGAGCTCCATATTCTAATAATTCCTCCTAGCTTGTTCAGTTTTGGTGGTAGGTAAATCCTATCAATCCAAGTACAAATGTTCCAGGGAGGAATTTTGCCATTGTCTCATGAATACGTCTTATTTATCTTTCAAAAGTTATTCAAGGAGAAGCAATCTGTAACCACTTGGTGTAGGAGTAGGTTGGTCCAGGCCATTATTTCTTGTTGTCCTCTTCCTGTGGTTGGGGTTCCACCTTGTTTGTCCTCAAGGTATTCAATGGCATTGAAGTCTTTTGCTAGAATGCAATGTGCTGGGGGTAGCTGAAATCTCCGCATTTGGTTCCATAGACTAGCTCGGGATCCTGTTTTGTTATATTCGTATATGTTGATCACTCATATTTTGAGATCTTGGGTCCACTTGAATGTAGCGTATTGTGCTCTTCCAGGAGTTATTATGCCATATTCACATGCCAATGAGGGTGATTCTATTAGATAGTAGCATGCCAATGCTTCCTTGGTATGAGGCTTGGTTGGCTGAGTAAGATGCCTCACTCCATAATGTTGTGTTATTCATTAAGTCGATTTGATGTGTCTTGGATTTGCATTCCTCAAGCGAGAGCTTGTGCTCTTGGAGTAAGAGGATGTCTGGCCTTGGTTTTGATTTCAAAAAGAACTCTCTAATTTTTCTTCTTTTTTTGATACCTGCGAAGTCTCATCCCAGGCTTTGGACATTCAGAGTTGCAATGCAAATGGGTTCATTCATTGCCCTAGTATCCTATTGATGGAGTACATGACTCCCCCTCCGCTTCCCTTCTGGGGAACCCTCTCTCTTATTGTATGTTGGATTCTAGTCTGATCTGTGTTATGGGTTCCGATGTCGGTACCTTTGGTGGATTACATCCAAAAAAGAAATGCAGTCCTTGTTTTCCTATTTCCTATTGTTGTGCTTCTATATGGGTGTCTTGGGAGATAAGATGTTGGATCTGTGTCCGGAAAAGTTGCCACTTGTAGCAATGGGCTGCCTTAAGTGTGCATACATTTTCATCATATGTGATAAGCGGGGTGATGATACCTAATGTTGTATTGTCTGAAGGGCTTGTCCACTTGTACTTCCATGTTGCGTCTGTCCAGCTTCGAATGGAATTGATGTGTTGAATTTTTAGTATGGTTTTCTACCGTAGGTGGCGCATTATTTTATTTGTCAGATGGAGGCGTGCTTGTTCTGTCGTCCATCTTGTAAGATTTTGTTGTTGTGTGAGGTAGAACGAGATGGGTGGGTGGCCTCTTTTTGTAGCTTGGTGGATGATTGGAGTCTCATATAGTTTATCGGTCCTTGTCCTTAGGAATATGGAGACGATAGCAGCTGAGCACTCTGTTTCAGTCGGGGAATTCTAGCCTAGGGCTTCCCAGAAATTAGTGTATTTGGGTCGTTGAGTAACCAATGTGCCCGGCTGCTACTGGATTGCTTTCTTCTCTGGCTTCTAGTTTAGCTTTAGGCTGCCAGATGAAGTTTTGTTTCTTAGAACTGACTCTGTTATGCTTCTGTTGTTTTGTAGGTTCCTTGGGATCTGTTGACGAGTTTGTGTGGCGAATAGATTTTCTTTGCCTTTGCTTTTTCCGTTCTGCAATCCTTTCGCTCGCTAGTTGTCTGACTAAAGTGCATTTGCCTACATTGTGTTCATAGGAGTGGTACCGGTTGCACTGTTCATTAAATCCTTTGTATTCAATCATATACTCATTTTCTGTATCCGTGTCCATTCTCATGATCCAGATTGACCTAGGGAGGTCCTCTGTGTTGTCAGTCAAGATCCTTACTCTTGGTCCGGATAGTTTCGCTCTATATGTTTCTCTATCGTCGATCAGAAGTATCTTAAATGTTTGGTGCAATATCGAGTGAAGAATATTTTGGTTCGGAGAGAGTGGGGGAGACTATTCACTTGTGCTCAAAGCGCTGTCTTAAGTTGCTTATGTGATGCTAGTTCGTCTTTTTTGTAATATGGGGACCATGGGTAGCAGCATAGTTCCCTATTATCTACTCTGTAGGAATAGGTACTAAGGGTTTGTCTTATGCCTTCCTCCTATGTGAATTGTAGCTCTATGTAGTTGTTATCTCGGATAATGAGACACTTGAAGGAGTGATGCAGTTTAGTTTTAGCCCATATTGTAAGTCTACGGATGCCCGGGCTGCGTTCTCTCAGTACTCCTAGGACCATATATTTTTGAAATTGTTGCATTTTGTCTTTGTGCTTCTGACGGATTTCAGGGTCGATAGTAGCATTGATTGTCGGATGGGGTGCAGTGGTGGTTCTCTCTACCTTTTCCGGTTCCGCACTATCTATTTCCCTAGTTTTTGGTTGTCCTTCAATTGATGGGTTTGATAATAACATAGGTGTTACCTGATGTTTGGTAACGGGGCTGTATTGTGTAAAATTCTTCCACGAATTCGAGAAGGTCTATGAACACTCTACACACCATTTCTGCTACTGCCTCTTTTTCGTTGGTTTTATGGCCCAATCTCAGGTTCCCATGTTGATGTATGACTTGTTCCGCTTTTGCCCTGGGGTTCTGTACCTGTTTCCGTAAGTGAATAAAGAATACCCTGTCTGTGTCCCCCCCCCCCCGCCCCCCCAATGGAAATGAGTTTGCACTAAGTTCTATTCCTCTTGTTTCCTCTATGCCCGGGGTGTGGAAGTATTGGTTCACTTGTGTGGTGTCTGGGGTGGTCTCCCTTTGAATCTCTTCTTGGTTGTCCTCCTGTGGGTACTGTTGTTTTTGTGGTGTACCTGTCAACAAGCCACTGAGTGTGGTAGAGATTACATGTGGTGTTTGGTCGTTCTTTTTTGACTGTCCAATTGGGGTAGATATCTCTTTTAAGCTTGATGCTCCTTCCATTGCTCAGTGGTGTGCAGTTGGTGGTTTGTACCGTTTATTGCTTTCGTCACCATTTCATATGCCTTGTTGTGTCGCTCCACTATTGAGCTTCCTTCGCGTGTCCTCAGATAGTATCTTGAAGCCCTGGATCCCTCTCCACTACTCGTATGTTTTGCGTCATAATCAATTGACTCTGCTACAGAGTTGCGGCCAATAGTGTTGGTACTGCTGTTCTGCGATCTGGTCCGGCCAACTACTATTCTATGCGCCATACTGCTCTAAATCACACAAAATGTAGTGCACTGTGCTCCACAAGAGGTGAACAATGCGTTACTGGCTATTACGTACACAAAATACCTTGCCACACTCGATTAGAGGGCTTTCGTAAAATGCGGATCTGCGGTGGTGCGGCTCCGATTTTCACGGAACCCACCGGCCGTCGCTCCTACAAGGGGGGATTCCACCTGAACTCGACCAATAGAAGAGTGCCACCTGTTGCTCATGTATAGTGGTTGACAAATCATATACTCTTCAATACTCCGTGCTCTTCACTAATCCTCACTACCATCCTAACATTACGTCATTCATCCATTCACGCATATATATCCATACTCCCACTTATTCATCCACACATGCAACGACTGTTCATCGAGTACAAAACAGTTTCTGCGGAGGAATTTCTCTGGAGGCTTCAGATCGCTGAAATGAGCAGGGTTTTTAACAGCCAGTGTGTATAGCACCGTTCAGTTGGATCAACATTTTACATATTAACTTTTAACATATGGTAATCGAAACTTTTTACATATTTTATACATACGTTTATGTTTTGTTTTGTTTTGTTTCTGTTTTTGTAAAATTTTGTGTTTTCATATCTTTGCTTACATTTTGTGCATGAGGAATTCCAAAAAATTAAGTAAAATCATATCATTCAAGAAAAGTGAATATTCTACCGCCAGTCTATTGTTGTGTACATGATATCAAAGTATTTTTTAAAATTTTTTGTGTTACAATAATTATGAAGTATTGAAGAATCATGTTTTTGAAGAATCACGTTTCTTTATGTCTATGATCACTGCCATCAATGGTGACCTATGTGTTTATACTATTACCTGCAAATAAGGCAGTTTAATTTATTTTGGTTATTTATATCTACAAACTATATATATTTTTTGAACTTTTTCACATTATGCTAAAACACCTAAATTGCGACATTTTCAATTGACTAAAGTTCACTAGTCCATCCATCCATCCGCACATTACTCTAAAATCAAAAATATAGGCTGCGGATTCATTGATGAAGCTGGCAGAATTCATGCACTCTCAAAAACACATCGTCTGGCTACGAAGACTTCACATTCACAACATGGTGCGCCTCAAAATCACTACTCATCCTCACTACCATCCCACACATTACGTCACCCATCTATCCACACATACATGTCCATACTCCCATTTTATTCATCCAGCCATCCACCAACGGTTCATTCATTTGCAATCTCATACATGCATCCATCTGTAAACCTATGCACCCACAAAGCCCATCCACCAATTCGTCCAAAAACTCATCTATATATGCTTCTATGCACTCATACATTCATCTATATTTAATACTTTAAATCTCGATCGTGGATGAATTAGAGTAACATCCATCAAAATTGAGCGGGCAGATAAGGAATCATACAGAACGCGACGTGTCAGTCACAGTGCATTCATTCGAATCGCGATCCCCACGTGAATCGGGGCGGGAGTGAGTCACGGAAACTCTTCGTCTTCGCCGATCTTGATGGGCGGGAGAGGATTGGGCGAGGGCGGGATGGCGATAATGCCGTCGCTGGACAGCAGCTCAGCCCAGTCGTCCAGGTATATTAATTTGGTGTCCGAGTCTTGCGCCGCTCTCACCATGCTGCTCGCCTCGTCCACAGTGAACTTATCACCTCGTTCCCTGAACATGCTCTGTCACATTCCAGGAGTAGTTGTAGCAATACTAGTAGTATCAAATGAAAAGAAGAAGAAGAAGAAGAAGAAGAATCGATCATATCCTGCATGGTTTAATTTCGCAAACTGAAGACTCTCCCCGTTCTTCTTCTCACTAGTTTCTGGGATTTGCAAAACAGTTTCTGCGTAGGAGTTTCTCTGGAGGCTTCAGATCGCCGAAATGAGCGGAGTTTTTAAACAGCCAGTGCATGTAGCACCGTTCAGTTGGATCTGTCGGAACATAGTTGAAATTGTTGATGCAAAGAATGTCATGTGCTAGGTTATTCAAAGTGATGTAATTAACTTCACCTTAAGCTCTTCTGGTTCCAAAGTTTCCCTTCCTAGCCAAATTGTCTGCATAGATTTGTAAGTGTTGGTAGACAAATGTTAATTGAGGCAGCTCAATTTGGAAATGGACAACAGTCCTAGCGAAGTGCGTAGCTGGTAGAAGGTGTGTCCGTTTCAGAAGTTAGGGATCAATTTTTATGATTGGTAGGGCTGTGAACCAAAATCTACAGAATTGATGAGTCTCAACTATCAAGTGATGGCACAACGCGTCGAGCTGCCAACTTGTTTTCTGGATTGAACATACATTTAGGGCCTTCAAAACTTTTTCCTTAGGTAACCGGTTCAAGCAACCCGGGTTGTTGAACATCATTCCAGCGACCTGTTGTTCAAAATTGTCACACTCGAAGTAACCTCTCTGAGTTTGGGATTCCTCTTTCATTTTACACTGCAGCAGAAATTTTACACGTTGATGAGTAGGTACACATTATCTACAAATACAAATGTACCCAATCACTCATGACACAAAACTCTCAAGAAATCATCAACCTCCTTACACGAACATTCACTGGAGACTCATGTCATGTCAACCAATTATGATTAATTGTGCTCAAAGGTCCAGTTTACGAATCGCAGCAGCGTGGAATGAAATATTTACAGCAGTGATTATGTCTTCAATTTGCGCCTCTGAAGGGTTAAATCCTACACCTCGCATGATTGTTGCAACGGAGCTGTCAAACAAGATCATAGTGAAGGTGTTAAGTAGCTGCAGGCGGATCTCATCACCCACCATTCTTGCTGAGCAATTTTGCTAATCGGAAGCTAGACCAGGCTAGATCACGAAATGTGTTTCGAACAGCTTCACGGTGCAGTGAAACTGTTACGGTTTGATCACAGAGTGTAGTGAAACTCCGACATGACTGCTGGTACTACGGTTGAAACACTAGCTATTTAGTCTCAGAGTAATATTAGAAAAGTGCGTCTATATACTCTTCAAATGCACAATTCCGTCGATGATCTCAAGGAAAATACAAATTAGAAGATTAATGAGGGTCCAAGAAAACACGTAACATGTGCTGCTCGCTCACCTCTGTGGAATCTGGGTTTTGTTCCCTCCTTTACGTATATATACAGGGTAAACGGCGCGAATATTCTCTGCGACGACTGGATCAATTTTATATTCGCTCACCACCTGCGGAATAATGCCACCACCAGGCTCTGCCATCGCCACTATCTGACGAACAACACCTGAAGTTGGCAAAGCAGTTACTCGAAGTGGATTACTCTTCGGAGAGTCTGATGTTCCAAGCAATAAAACCGGATCACAAAAATGAATAGAGGTTTCACATGAGTAGCGTAAGTTGCGAATAAGGACTGCATCCCCTTGCACTATCATATCACCTTGGCAAATCGATAAACTCTTGGAGGCTCAGTGTATCTGCTTCCAATTCCCCACGAATCTGGCGTCTGTTGTTAACTTTTTCCACCACTACAATCTCGTTCCTTTAACCTCACGACATTCTAGAAGACTCGGTTTGTGCGATTGTTAAAATACAAAAATAAAACAGTTGTCAGCAGCTTTGACTTAAACAAATAGTAATTTACAAATTCAGCCATGAAAGATTTCCTTTCGAAACCAACCTTATAAGCGAGGCGAAGGTACTGTCTCGTCAAATATTTCTTTTGGATCTCGTTTAGGGTTTAGGGTTCTACGTAATTTTTGAGCCAGTTGGTTTAATTTCTTTTTAACAAATTCTAGATAGAATGGGTTACAATTGAATTGTGAAAACTTGTTCATGTACACAAATCGATAGAATACCACCCACAAACCTGATCGTAGGTTGCAACTCAAAGTAAGTGATAGCACACATATCGTTAGCAAGGCTTTCAAACTAATGGCCCTGAATTCCCGTGCAATAATCCAATGTAAACATCTCATGCTCTCACACAATGGGTTCTCACTAGGATTTGAAGTCATCACCGCCAATCAATTGGCGTAGGCTGGCACTAGGGACTGGTATTGACTGGAACGCCTGGATGCCAACTTATCAGAATAAAAGTCACCCAAACTTGATCATGCAGTGGCACAAGCCCCTAGAACTTGATTTCTGAGAGTCAGCTTTTTCAGAGTACACACGGCTTGGGTGAGACTTTAAGTCAGTTGTAACGGTCAATAACACACCAGTCAGAGGATACACCTGTTCAACACTAGGCTCGTCTACTTTTCTGGTGATTCTGTTAATTTCCTAAAAGGGGTATCGACATGAAGGTTCATGAATCCAATTGCAGATCATGCGATCAAGTACTGCTACATGCATACATTCTGATACATTCCTCCACTGCTTGAGTCAACAATTAGATAAAAACATCAGGATAACACCCACAATGTCACATTTAAGCATTCGCAAAACTGTTCTAAACTGCTATACAGTGTCTGATGCTCTCATCCCTGCAAATATGGGCTTAAAAAGGGACACAAAAGGCTCGACATAAGTTCTAGAACCATTATCTGGTTCCCTACATTGCAACCTCCATATGCTACTCACTGAGCGCCATACAGACTAGCAGATTTAAGTCCAAAAGAGCGTGAGCGACACATAATTGGTTAGACTCACAAACTTGGTGAGTCTCAATATTTCACGAGCATCAAAAATTGTGTGCATTCATCATCTCTCGGTACACCATATCTATGAAATGCTCATTCTGCATCACAACCATAGGCTCAAATTAGCATACAAAGTTAGGAAGAACAGAAGTATCAATAAAAAAACCTACAATTCAAAAAACGAAGCATAAGGCGCAATCGAACATTTTAGATGTAGGTTGCAAATCTAATTCCTAACTTATTGAGTATCATGATTTTGCTAAAAATTATCAATCACGCATCATACACATAATACTCGCAAATGAGGCACCATCTAGTTCTTAGCAACATACCTCATCCAAAACAGGCGAGGCCATTCAATACGCAGATATACTCACCTTGACGAGGCGATTAAGTGCTTCTCGAACTCCGTCCTTAGTTATTGATACACTATGTTGCATAGTTGGAGCAAGCGAAAGAGGAGGATTCGGAGGAGGAAAGGGTTGAAGTAACGGAGCACCATGAGATGGCTGAAGAGAAGTTGTGGAAGGAACCAGAGGGGCACTAGGGGCGCTGTGACCAGAAGAGAGTGGGGGAGGAACAAAGAAGGATGGCTTTATGAGCGTTGCGCGACCTGTAGGGGGGTTATCAGGCGTATCAAGAGACAGAGGAGCAAGAGACGTGAGCGGAAGGGCCGTTGTAGTTGGCGATATTATGGAAGACATCGACACTGCGGAAAAAGTCGGAGAAGCAGGTATAGTCGTGCGAGATTGCACTGAATGATTTATTGGAGGACGAGATGCTGTTGTGGGAGTAATATCAGGTGTACTGATGCGCACTATGTTCTGTCGCACATTCACAAATACATGAGTTAGTTTCATGAACAGGAAAAGTTGCAATAGTTACGTACTAACTGAAGCAAAGCCACAACACCATGGTCGAGAAGGAAAAACACTTACGAAACGACTGAAAGAAAGAAAGAAAACAAACACTTGAGATGAGAAAAGATAGAAATAAAAGATACATAAAATAGAAACCGATACGGAAAGCTTGGAAAACCGGTAGAAAAGCAAAAACAATTGATCAATTTCGGAAAAAGATAAGGAAAGCAACCAAGTCAACTCTTGCACTCCAAAACTAGATCGCATGTAACACGACACAAAAACGATTCGAAGAGAAGCGATTCTTTGTCGATAATTGTTGCGTCTCCAATCCAAATCTATCACCTTCAAATAGAAATCATCTACCGACAACAAACGAGAAGTGCCACAAATAATTTACCAAGAAACGCTCCAGTGGCTCATCCTGCATCTCGAGCATCCCTGAGGAAGCGATAGGGCCCCGCTCCAATGGACCTTCCAAGTTAACTGTTGTAGGGACTGCTTCAAGTTCCACATAATCTGAGCTGAAAGTGGCACATGTTATACAACCTATTACTATATCAGTCAATGGTCCGAACAACAAGATTACATCTTGCACCATAGTCATGCCCGATACATAAATCCCATGTTCGTGCATTACTGAGCACAATTTCAAATCCAAGGAAAATACGAACTAGCCACAGGATACTCTCGATAAAATAAGGTTTCAATCAAATACCTGCCGTCAATACAAAAATGGGCTACTATTTATGGTAGAACGCTAGACAAAGCAATCCAGAACCCAAAATTATTGACAAGAACATCGACCAGAACCTAAAGAATCAAATTTATGCAAGTCAACATCAGCTAGTATGGCACAACATATTCGCAAAGTAAACAGACCTTGGGGGAATCAGCCGTGGTTTCGGAGGAGGTTTAAAGGCGTGCAAGATCCTGGTGCAAAATAATTAAAAATAAGAATCAGAATCACAGAAACGTAATCGTATCAACCTTGATAAGTTTCTTCCCAACTACATACACACTGATCCAGCTCTTGAACTATTGGCTAAAAACGCATAACCATTTGCTATCGGTACCTGAAGCCGAAATGATTGTGGTGTCAATAGATGATTTATAAAACAACGAAAAAACGTTACTTCCATGCCCACTCTACAAACTTACATAACCTGCTACTAAAACGCAGGAGAAATTGGTGCTAAACTATGAGTTAACCCTCTGTGGTTGTATCTGTAAACTACTCTGCCACAGATAACCACGTCATCGACTTAAAGTTCTAATGCAAGAGCCAACCACGTCTGGACCTGAATGACATCAACAAACAATAGAGTGGAAGACGAGATTACGAACTGTTGTCAGAAATGAACTCAATAAAAGCAATGAGAAATCACCTCTGGAAAAGGTTAGCAACATCTTCACACTCCCGCGCGTTGTAAAACCAGATGGCATTTATTTCCTGAACGGCATTCCGGTATAGAAGATACGGGGATTGCACCTCGTACTCAAAATCACCCAATAGATTTTCCACCAAATTGTCTGCACGTGGTTGGAAAACCCATAACACATACTTATCAACAATTACGGTTCAAATATGGCGTATTTCCATAAAAAACGAGCTCCACAATCATTGAGCAGAGGAATGAGAAATTTACTATGTACTACTCCTTTGTCCAATGACGTATACACAATGGAGGCTACAGATCAAAGTATTGTGTCCACCCCCCTTGCTACATGCGTTATCCAAAAACCTGCACCAACCTCTTGAACAACAGAGAGGAGGCGGGCAAGGGCAGCTAAAATTCTATGAAAAATGAAATGAGTATCTAACCACTTAAAGACGCTTCCGAATATAAAAGATGTTCCTGTAGTCCAATAGTCACTCACCTGTACTGCGACGATTCATCACTATGAACTGGAACCGCGGCTGTGTCCGCCTGCAACGGAGACGTCCACAAATCAACAACAAATCACGGTTTCGGTTGAGTACGGCATATTCAAAAACCAAAACTGCTGTAGAGAAACTGAATTATCACCTTTTTACAACAAAGAGTGAACCCTCCACATCCTTGCGACTCTGACAACAAGAAAAAGTAACAAAAAACTGTCAGTGAGTCCACTAACACCTGTTACGTTCAAAGCTTAAGGCAAGGATCCGATGGGAATTATCGCATACGATGATCGCATGTCAACGTCGTGATATTTCAGGCGGAATTACGACTGCATTCATCTGATCAACATCTAAGCGCAGGACAATGCAAGGAGGTCCATCCATGCCCTAAAAAGGGCAAACTGCAGCATGTAAGAGGATCCAAACACACACCACTCTGACGCGAACTCTCTCTTAAATACTTTCCTTGCTGCACAAACTGAACTGCGATACGCGGGAACGAAAAAAGAACCATTACAAACACAAAGTGCTTCCCCAAGCTATCTTGCATCAGATTATGTCAGTTTAAAGGTTAACCTATCTTCAACAGACTCTCCTAAAACTGCACAAGGTGAAATCGCTACTGCTCTAGAAACCGCTAATTCAACCACAAAGGCACAAAATTCCACAACCTCACAGCCATCACACCAAGAGTAAAACATAAACCGTAAGCGCAACCTTTGCCTCGCGCAAACCTACCCCGGTACTGATTCCAGGCACACACAACACTTTCGCAATGTAGCTAACGAACTCACGCCACGGCAACTAACCTCAAATTATCCCAAACTTTCACTTACAACCAGAAATCCACTCATCTACCTTCGGCCCCTGGCAAACCACAACACATACCCATTGGTTGGCATCCGTATCGAACTGGTAGAAGGTGACATGAGCGGCAGTGGTCAAAATATCCTCTACATGGCGGTCGGTCCGCTGCAAGACGGTTAGATTCAGCTCCTTGGTGCTGTTCTGATCCAGCTGCGGGGGCAGCGGCTTCCCATTCTGTGCCATTGAGGGTTGAACTCCCCCGGAAACCTACCTACCGCACCAAACACCTCATAAAACAACCAGAAACTGCTGCACCTCGGAACCACAATCTCCTCCTCACACCACGGCAAGTATCGCCGGGAGCCGTCTCGCCCTCGCACGCTCTCTCTCCCTCCGCCCTCTCCTCTGACTCATAATACCATTCCCTCGGAAAAGAGAAAGACATCCCGAGCTCCGGCTGTTGCAGCAGCGAGCAAGTGCGGGGTGTGGGGCCAGGAGCACGAAGAAGCGCTGCCTGGCATGCGTTGCTCTCTGGCAATATTGGCCACCACACAACCCCCCGGTCGCACGTCCGCTTTACCCGACGACTACCTCCGCCGTCCATCCCTCCGTCGTTTTTGCCTGCTCACGCTGTCCGTCGCTGTTGACTCTTCAGTTACCACGTCGTCCGCGGTTACGAGCCCCCCCGCGCATCGCGGTTCAGTCCATGACCGGTGAGCCTATAGCTGGTGCGGTTGACGCCCGGCGATGCCTGGTTGGGTTTTTCCTACACCCGTTTGAACTTACCCTTGTGGTATTTTTCAGTTGAATTTGGCAGTTAGCAACTGTCGCCTGTAGGCATCAAAATTGTAGGGAAATGTGTTTGGGGAATATTTTGGAAAATGAAGGTGGTCGAATCTGGCTCTTGTGGATCGGGCCTCCCTTTTTGTTCTTATTTGATATATATATATATACATATATATATATTTGTTGTTGTAATCAAGGATGTAAATGGATTCATTGTGTGGTCCTCAAAGCATGCATACCCCATAATTGGGATCAATGTTTCCCCTTTCAAAAAAAAAAAAAGAAAAAAAAGAAAACGAAGTTTTAAAACGTTCTTAGAGGACTGATTTCCACCCCTCTGTTATGAGAAATGGTTTTAGAAAAAAAAGACATTTGAAATGTTTTAAATTTCTAAAATCTTTGTGTAGTAAAAAAAATATGATGAATGAATCTTAAAGTTTTATTCTTCATCCTGATTATCCATTTTAATGTTTCTTGATGATAAATAAACAACAACCACCATTGTGCACAAAGGAACCGTAAATTTTATTTAATTATATCATAGTAAAGAAACTTGGTTGTTAAATACCAAAATTTAATACAAATTATTTTTGAATCAGATTTTATAATTTTGTTTCTACACAATGAAATCTTATATCAACCAATTTGAATTGTGCATATAATACATAAGAATCATATAGATACAAAGATCTAATGATAATATCAGAACATTAATGCAAAAATCATTTCTTAGAATATTTAGAATAAAATAATAAATTACATGTGATTTTTTAATTTAAGATATTTTTTGAATAATAAAAATAAAATTATGAATAATATTAAATTTTATATATAAATTTATATATATATATATATATATATATATATATACATGCTTATGAAATCTAAATAAATAAAATAAATATGAACATACTAATCAAATAACTTTTTCATAAAACATAAAAAAATGTATATGTATGTATATAAATATTTTTCAAATAAAAATAAAATACAATACAAATAGAAAGAAATAAAATACACAATAGAACTTTCAGATATGAAGTAGGATAGATAAACCTATGCCGTTGTCAGAAATGATGTGCAAAAAAGTAGTTAATTTTGTTTCAAGAATTACTTGTGAAAATATTAATATATATATATATATATAAAATTTAAAAAATCATAAAGTATGTTAAAAAATTCAAAGATTTATTAAATCCAATAAATAAATAAATTAAAATATAAAATATAAAAAATAAATTACTAATATTTATCTAATTAAAACTTCTAAAAAAATAATATTCAATGTGGAATTGAAATTGTCATTTTTAGAAAGAAGAATCTCAATAGAATGAAAAGAAATTAATTGAGAGAGTATTTTATAATATTGACCATCCAAAAAAAAAAAAAAAAAAAAAAAAAAAAATTGTCATAGATCCAAACCAAGATGCTTTGCCAATTGTCCTTAAGATTTGTTTATTTTTATTGTGAATACAAGACAAATTAGAAATTTCTTTCTCTTCAAAATGAACAAAAGTTCTTCTTTTGTGGAAGTTATTATAATCTCCAGAATGAACACCAAATTTCCAACAAATTTTCCTCTATAAATTCTTGCTTAAAGAATTTGATCCATTACTCATGTAATTACTAATTGAATTTCATTGCAAAATCTTTTGCAAGGAGCAATATTTCTTAGTAGCAGCATTTGAGTTTCAACCTTAAGACAAAGCCTTAATCTAGCCATTTTAGATAGATTAAACAACTTGTTGAATTCAACTAGATAAATATTATTGTTGTCAAAACCATCTTCAATACTAACTTCATTGGCACTTAGATATCCTTGTTCTTCGTTGAAAAATATGACCATAATCTTCTCATTGATATTCTCTATATAAATATTTTATGCAAATAATATGATTCTATCTATAAAGAAGGCATCATTCTATACACTTTCTTCTACCAACCTTGAATAAATAACATCAATTAAAGACATTAAATTTTAATTAAAAATCATATAATTAAAAAGTACAACTACATTATTTAGTAATAAGCATAACTATATTGTATATAATATGTATGTGCATTCTATAATTGAAGAAGCCAATTAACAAATTTGGTATTTACTTGAAGTGCTTTTGAATTCAATCTCATATTTTCTTTTAATGTATAGATTTTTATTTGAAGCCAAAGTATTGAACATTGAAAATATGTTGCTACAATTTTTTTTCGAATTTCTTTTACAATCATTGGCAATGTTTAGCAAATATTTCTACCAAAAATTATTGTAGCTCCTTTAAATAGGCAATCAATATTTCAAATGTCTCTAAAAAACAATCAACTAACTTAAGACAATAATGATGTTGTATTGGAATTTTATTCCAAATAATAAGTCAAGTTTGGAAAATAAATTCAATATAGTCGAAATTCTTAGTAATTGAACAAAAAAAAATCTTTGTTACAATTTAATAGAATCTTAAACATAGCATAGGTAGTTCTTCCTCTCTCAAATATCAATTTGATAATTTGTATTGATGCAATACATATGACAATCTATCAAGGACAAAGACTCGAAGAGGGAAAATATACACCAAAAGGCTATCTCGATATAATAAGTCAAAATATAAACAAGTAGGTATATTAAAAGGAAACTGGAATGGCTATTGCCACAAGACAAGAAACTAAAGACTCTTGAACCTGGACTAGAAGCAAGAAAGGAGTTGACAAGAGTGAAGAAGCCTTCACTCTTGTCTCTATATATACTATCTAACTAGGGGCTACGTGGCGACGTTCTATAGGACCTCCAATATGTGTTGACTTTGTAGGACACATGCCTTGACTTACAAGGCAAGTTTTTCTACGTGTGGGCCACATAGTTAGCTTGATCTTCAAGCTAACAACATGTGTGGCACATGGCCAACTTGTTGACCACGTTTTTAATCCAAAAAGTCAATTAAAGACACCTATGAAGTCAAAGCAGCGTCTAGGAAGTTTCTAGGAAGCTTCTATATTAAATATTATAGAATTAACTTACTTTTATCTACTTTTACTTACTTCTACCTATTTCTATATGTAATTATTAGCTTACATGATTATGGCCGTGACATTACCCCCCCTTCTAGAGACGAGTTCCATGAGGAGCGGTCATCATATGTTGAGGAAATCTATGATGCGACGAATTGTATTCGCCACATACTCTGATCTCTGTTCTCTTCGAAGATGATTGATAGGGCCTCTCAACCATCGGTAGTGTCCCATACCAGGGCGGGAAGACCACCCAGTTATTTGATCAATGTTGAGGCCTTCGTAACTTCCTTCGAATAGAATATTCGGAATACCATCAGGAGTTGTTCCTACTTCTAGCAAAATCACCAAACATCGAGAGTCCCTTCCCAAATCGTGATACCAAACGCATTGTATCTCACCATCTGTTCGAGAAAGAACATGTCGTTCTTGAAGATCTTCATCTCGATTGCGTCGTCTTGAAGGTTGTGACAATCGTAATGTCTCGTCCGACAGGTCAGCAAACGAAGGTTCTTGAGTTGAATCCGCTGGTTGTTGGCTCTCCATCTAATTAGCGTCACAAATGCAAAGAAGTTACAAACAAGGATAGGAAATTGAATGTTATCTTGCCTCAATTTTGTCTCTTTTATAAGAGAGATTTTCATCTTGGTTTTGATGGATGTCGTTGATGAAAAACTTTGACTTTAGCTGATGCATTTCCTAGATTCCTGGATGGCTCCCATGTGCGTTTACTAATATCATATCCGCGCCAATGAACAAGATATTCCAGCTTATTTCGGCGCCGCCTTGAGTCTAATATCTCTTCTACCTCAAATTCTTCATTATTATCTACTTCTATAGGAGGCGGTGGCATTTGTCTTCTTCCTTGTATATCCACTGTCTTATATGGTTCAAGAAGTGACACGTGGAATACAGGATGGATCTTCATTGACTCCGGTAGATGTAACCGATATGCAACTGGGTTGATCTGTTCAGAAACAGAAAAGGGGCCAAGCCTACGATAGTCCAACTTGTCACAAGGTCGAGTAGTCTTGATATTGCGACGAAGTAGCCATACCTTATCATATACGTTGATTTGTGGTTGCTCCTTACCATATAGATCTGTATTTATCTTTTGTCGTTCTTGAGCTTCCTTCAATTGCGTCTTCATTATTGCATATAACTCTGACAACCGATTTGCCATATCTCCTGCTGCAGGATTATCAACTTTTGAAAAATCAAAAGTATCAAGTCGTGGATGATAGCCATAATTGGCAAAGAAAGGTGTTTGTTGCGTGGAAGAATGTACCGTATTATTATAAGCAAACTCTGCCAATGGCAGAAGGGTTGTCCAATCATCTTGTTGGTAGTTGATAGTACACCTTAAATATTGCTCCAAGACTTGGTTTACGCGCTCTGTTTGTCCATCAGTTTGAAGATGGAAAGCCGAAGATAGCTTTATGTCTACTTTTAAAATCTTGAAAAGGGTCCTCCAAAATCTTGACACAAATTGAGTTCCCCTATCTGATATGATATCTTTAGGTAATCCATGATAGCGATAGATATTATCAATGAAAAGCTTAGCTGTTTCTTCACCTGTGATAGATTTTGTACATGGCACAAAATGTGCCATCTTGGTGAAACGATCTACTATCACAAATATAGAATCATAAGATCTTGAGCTTGGAAGATCTATGATGAAATCCATAGAAACAGAAGACCATGGTTGT